TTTCTGTCCACTTTCTGTCCAGTTTCTTTGCAACATCGTGTGAAATCGTGAGGCACAAATCCAGTTTCTGTTTTGGATTTGTGTGGATTAACCAGCAGATTTGCCCCCGTTTGATAACGTCCTAAGTAATGAGCTTATCTCACCACTCAGATAACCGGGCTTACCTCTTCTGAACTGAAGTCTAATTCAGGAGGCAGCTGGGTCCTATTACAAGGATTTTGTCTCCAAAGTCGCCAGGCTGCAGCCCAGGTCCCCAGCGCATTTTGGCAGCCTTACTTTGAAACTGGGAGCTTTCTGATTTCAAAAAATGGCCACTGAAGTGTGCTGGGATCCCAGGCTGCAGCCAGGTTGGACTCGCCTGGCGGCTTCTGCAACAAAATGATATGATAGGACAGACCTGCTCCTGAATTAGATTTCAATTTGGAAGAGGTAAACCAGTTATTTGAGCAGTGGGATAATCTCCTAACTCCAGTAAACATGGGTGGAGAGGCCTGCAACCATAAAGGACACTGGTGTTCCTTCTGTATGATGAGGTAAAGATTACTACATTCTGCCATTACTTACAGTACTGGGAAGGGAAATTGTATGGTGATAGACAGTGGAAGCTCTCTTTGCAGCAACCCATTTTCATTTCTTTAAAAGGGTGCTAAAGCGAGAAAGAAATAAGTGTCTGATGTAGATTACAATCTGTTTGTGCCTCTTACGCTGTTTGGAAATTGTCATTCTTGTGGTGGTATGACCTAAAGTCATGGAGTCATAGACCTATAAAAGCCAGCAATGTACAAACATTAGAAGGATTTACTGTTCTTTCATAATGTGGCATTTATGAAGCAACAATTTTTTCCAGTGCTTTCAATATATTTAAATAGCAATGTTGAAAGAAGGGAAAATAGTAACCTCACTCAATCATATTCTTCCAAAGCTGAATTAACAAAATAAAATAAAAGACATGGCAGACAAATAGAAGAGCCAGAAGTTTAATAAGCCTAGTAAGGTCTGAATTAATGGAAATATAACATTTTGAGATATAGTTCAGGACTTTTCTACCCCAGTGGGAAGCCTTGTACTTTCCCTGTAACAACTGTGATCCAGACACATGACATTCCTCAGGCAATGCAGGGCTTCTCTCCAAAAATCTAGAGAAAGAACTTTCCTTCACCCCACATTCACCTGGGAAATCCAGACTGGTAGCAAGAACATGGCTATTGTCTGGAAATACCATACTCCACATTGTAGGATATGTAATCATCATGAGACCACCCTTTTCTTATGGATTGCTCCAATCTTGCCATGGTGAGTGTAGTGTTATCAGAGTCACTATGGACTGGGAAACTGCCCTGTGGCAATAGGGTGAATACTGGATTTCCTGCAGGTGTAGACAACAATGGTGGCTGGGGGATTCTGGGAACTGTAGTCCAAAAAACATCATTTGCCATCTCTGATTCTACAAACACTTCAACCCAGTTTCTGATAAGAAACCCTAGGGGACTATTGTACAGCCAAAAGGTAATTCCTGCTGAGGTTTAGTCCTTATCCGCTGGTGTTTTTTTATCCATGGATTCAACCATCCTCAGTTTGAAAATATTCAAAAATATATTTCTATAAACAAACCTTGATTTTGCCGTTTTATATAAGGGACACCATTTTATTATCCACTGTTTTTAATGGGACCTGAGCATCCATGGATTTTGGTAGCCACAGGGGTTCCTGGAGCCAAACCCCAGCAGATACGAAGGGTCCACTGTATAGACATTATTTTGGCATGACCATATCTAATAGCTAATACATTGATCTCACTAGTTCAGCATGGCAAGCAGGGTAGAACAGGGAATGCCATCCCAAAGGAACAATTACTGCAAACCTCTTCATGTGAAGGCACCTGGAGATGATACCTGGCTTTATAACAGTTCCTGTGAAAAGAATCTGGGGTTGTTGTTTTTCATATGTATGAAGTTTTGCTTTTTTAAAAAATGTGTATGCTGTTTTGTACAGGTAGAATGTGTAGCAGTTTGAGCACTGGACTAGTACTCTGAGAGACTAGGGAGATTATCATCGCATTAGCTTCCCTGCCAGAATAGACCTGGGATGTAACTTTCTTAAAGCAGATCTTATTGCATTCACCCATCGCGGGGCAGTATGCAGCCTGTATCCAACCCGGGCTTAGCTGAGCTTGTCCCACATCTTTTTAAGAATGGGAAAATCCATACATTAATGTCAGTTTGACATAATAAATAAAGTTTTGTATTATTTTAACTTTTGGAGGCAACTCAAAGAGTAACAGGACTGATAAGATAGGTTTAATTATGTATATGAGTATGAAGTTAAAGAGATTTTGGCAACAGAAGGAACTTGTACTATAGGGAATAAGATTCAAGAACTCTCTCTCTCTCTCTCTCTCTCTCTCTCTCTCTCTCTCTCTCTCTCTCTCTCTCGTGTGTGTGTGTGTGTGTAAAAATATCCTATCTATGGGTTGAAGTTTCTCTCAGCCTAGCCCCAAAGCTAGGAAGGATGAAGGGTGAAGGGTGCTGGGAGTTGCAGTCAAACTTCTAAATCTAAAAAATCTTCACTTATTTTGGTCTCTTAAGTAAAGGAGACCCAGGCAAAAGCAAGCTGCTGAAGCACTCCCTGCTTGTGTATTCTTCCTCATTAATAACTTTTGCCATCTTAACCATATTCCAATATTGCATGGCCACAGGTGTCCTGGTTTTCATCTGTGAAAGGGGACCTGGGAGTCCAAAAAAGTAACTTTTCTACGCTCTTCATGAGCATCTACATAAAATTCCTGCTACATGTGAAAAAACAGTACTGTAAATAAAAAGGCTTGGGGGAAAGAACTATTCATACAAGGTGGGGGGGGGATTATGAGCTGTGATCCAAAATAACTTTCCCAACTCTGAAAATGAAGAAATGAAGAGAATGCACAGAAGAGAGGAATATAGGGGGGGAAAGGAAGAGAGACAAATAAGGGATTTACCTAAAAGGAAAACAAATTGTTCTTTGATTGCTGGAGGTTTCTGGGAATTTTTGCCCAGAAATGTGTTCCTAAACTCTGCTCTGCCCCACTTTGCTTTGGCCCCAACCACTTTTGGCTTTGCTGCCCCTCACATCAGCAGTAGGTGCCTCCAGCTTACTTATATCCATGTGGGAATGCAGATCTTTAGACCAAAAATAAAGAATAATTACACTCATCTAGGGTTCCCTGTCTTCTTCAGTCCTCACAGTATGCCAGAGGAATCTCATAGGGAGAGAGCAATGTATTGAAAAGTGTTGGGGTGAATTTTTTTAGAGATTTGTGTTTTTGATTTAAATGGCATATATGGTGTAGCTGTGGTTGACAGTTAAGGCAGCATGCTTCATTACATTACAAGGGACTGTCCCTTATAACATCACCTTTGTCGATCACTAGGGCCCACCCCAGCCACCCCTCTGATATCTCCTGGTGCCTTTCTTCCTCGGTCTCAGGCTTTGGTCCAGAAATCTCAGGGCCTGGGAGAGTCCTGACCTGTCAACCCAACATTTGTGTCAAAAATATTTATAATTCATCATAATGTAAAGCAAGGATGGGGATACCTACCAATTGAGCTAAAAATATTTTGAGGGGAACATTTTTTTAACTAAGAAGTACCTCATACCCCATAGGAATAATAGGGGGATTTTTAAATATTAAAAGTTTTAAAATATGCTCCCTGCCACTGCACCACCTTGCTATAGAGGAGTGAAATAATACTGCCAAATGAATGTGCAATGCTAAGATACAATGCGGTTCTTAAAATAAAATATGAATCTCTTCTCTAATGTGTGTAGAAAAGCCAGGGCCTTTGGGATCATCCATTATTATTGTGTGTTGTCTATCCATTTTTCTCCAATCAAATATCATATTGAATACTCCCTTATCATAGCAAAAAGTTTCTCTCATCAACCTTGACAAGTCATTTGCAGCTTCTGTTACCTGCATTAACATAAGGCAACAGTTATTTTCATCACTATTTCACACATGATCCCAGCTTATTAAAAGAATCCAGCATAATGTTCCCTTTCCAGGAAGGAGGAGAATGTGGATGAAGGGAAGCTTTCATCTTTGGAGCAGAATGGAACAAATCAGCCTTCCTTTTTTTTTTTTAACTATGATGCAGAAATATGAATAATATATTCCAACCCCATCCATCTCTATGAAAGTAGATTGAATTGAAAAGAAAACTGAAGCGGAAAACAGATTGTGGAAGAAATGTTTATTGGGGGAAATAGTGACCTAACAAACTAAAAAATAAAACTCACCTCTGGACCAGAGCTTAGAAGCTGACTCTTTTTGAACTACAGCATGCAGAATCCCCCTAGCTGGCATCTCCACTAGCTAGTTATTGCCCCTAATAGGAACTTTTTTCAAGCTTTGTTTTGGACTTTTTGGCCAGCAACAATAGATACAAGGAAGATGGGAGAGTCAAGATTAAAATACAGTACAGTACAGATCTTTTATTCTGCAGAGCAACTGCCTAACTACCTAAGTATAAGTATTTTGCAATCCTATCTGGTAGGGTTATACTCGAACCAGGGTTTTTAAGGTAAGAACTGAAGGTCAGTTTCATTAGTAGGCATGATGGTATCATGTGTCATCAGTCTCAGACTGAGTCTCATTACTCAGACTCAGTTTTAATTTGTGAATCTGATTTTAATTCTTTAATAGTTTAATCCTGTTTTAAGGGGTGGGTGGTTAGGGAGGAGAGGATGGAATGTTTTTATCTGTTGTATTTTTAATCTGTTGTACACCACCCTGATTGCTGAGCAGAGGGGCGGGTTATAAATAAAATTTATTA